CTCTCGTTTATGCGGATTATATTCCGTAAGTTCGGCCAAAATCCTGCAATCAAGTAACAGGGAACGTATGTGAGAGGCGGTTAGGAGTCGCCTCTAACAAATAAGTTTCCGTCTACTCTGTGAGAGAACGACAAACTATCCGTGAATATATCCAGTCCCACACTTAGAGATCAGTAAACTATACGTTGCTGTTAAATTTATACGTTGCAAACACAGTAAAATAATGGGGCCCCATTCCTGCGACCCTGAAAAAGCACTCGATTTTACGGGATACGGTATGACGAGTACGGGCTCCAAAAATCTCAGAGCCACTCTAGGCTGTACTAATCTCATAGGACTAAGGTAACCTGTACCTACAATGTACGCAATCCTACAACCGAGTCTTCCATACAGGACCTAATCGTGCAGGCAAAAAGTATGCGGCACGATGTTATCCGAGAAGATGCCACCCATTTCAACGCAGCCCATGAGACCGGAAAACAACTGTTCCTCGGGATATGCGACACTAGAGGAATCGGCGGCGTATATGTTCCCCTCAATTGGCCATGAATATCGATTCATTCGAAGAAGTAAAAGCCCGCATCGGATGACAACGGTTGAATAGATGTGGGTAAGTAGCGGCTTTGAGAATACTGGTCGTTTAAACAGCGATATCAAACTATGACGAAGACGAGGTCGAAACGCTCTAAATGAACTTGGAGAAGTTCAACAAAGAAAGCCATACATTCTCTATGGTCATCATTGGAGACTTTAAGGCTGGTGCCAGAAGAACATCTGAAGAACGTCACATTGGGACCCACGGATTAGGATAGAACGAGCAAGGTGAGCGGAGGTATAAGTTAATCTTGACGAGCAAGTTTTGTCTAACCGACATAGCTCTTGTCCCAAAATTCTACGGGTTACATCATCCCCTCCTTCGTGCAAGATTTCAGTTCTCGTGGAAAGAAAAGAAAGCCATTAGGTTCAAAAAACGAAGTCCCACAACTATCATAAACTGGGATTTATTCTGTTCCTTGTTCGGCTGTTGGATGCCGTTCTCGATAACATCGACGAGGAATATGCTCGGCTTATACGTCTTTTTGTTAGTACTATGAAATCTGAGAGTTCGAAAATCACCAAGAGACGTCTGTCTCCAGAAACACTCGAGTTGATATGCCAACGTGGAATCGCACAAACTGCAGGCAGCCGCGAACTAAGGTCCGGAAATGCAAAACACTGCAGAAATGCGATAAAATATGATAAAGGGAGAAGAGCAACAGATATGACCGAATCCGCAGAAGCTGGGAAAAGCATTCGCAAAACCCATCAAAACTTCGTCAATTACAAAACCAAGACGATTGAACTCCGACGCTCTGACGGAACAGTTACAGCTTCCAGAAATGCAATGCAGCAAATCCTTCACGACTATCAATAGAAACGTCCTCCTTCCCACATATGAAATAAAGGAGGATGGATATGTCCAACCAACGGTTTCCCTTTCGAAATAGCACTTGTTATTTCGTCGGTGAAAAATCGAACAGCATCAGACCAGAACAGGATAATATCTGAACGCTCGACGAACCTTCCGGCAGTCATCACAAACAAGTCGGCTCGGTTCTTCACACGTTACCTGTCTAAATGCAAGGTTCCTACTGAGTGAAAGATCAGCAAGACTATGCTGTTGTTCAAGAGTGTCGACCTCCACGATATCGGCAATTAACGCCCAATCTGCATCCTGTCCGCGTTTTCAAACTTTTCATTCGACTAATCCTAAAGAGATTGACGGAGCACTTGGACGAAGGACAGCCATGTGAGCAAGCAGGACTTCGAAAAGGATTCAGTACGATGGACCACACTCATATAATAACAAGACTCATTGAAGTATCGCGAGTGTACAAAAGACCGCTGTGTCTTACTTTCATCGATTTAAAGAAGGCTTTATACCCAATCGAGAAAGAAGTGGTCTTGGAAGCCCTGGGCTGTCAGGGAGTCCCTACTCATTAGATGAAGAACCTTCGTGAGCTATGTAAAAATGCCACAACCAAAATATCATCGTTTTTTAAATTTCATTTTATTTGACTCGTCTTCACGTCTACTGAGCAGATCCCAGCACTTCTCACATTCAATTCGTTTCCTCGCATCCATTGTCCCCAAGGATCTTCAACTTCACGTGTGGCTTCGGTTGCTATTCGAGGATTTCACTTTATCTTGAATTTCGCAGAATACTGGTCCAGCAATTCTCTCTGGAGTTCTGAGATAGCCGGGCCGGAGCGTTCTCAACTGGATTGCAGAGAGTGATTTTTTCCTATACAAGTCCGGTACCAATCTCCCCACCCCGGAGGGATGACAGGCTTGATTGGCTCGGGAAGGAATCGAACTAGCACCATGATCGTGATGATGGACATCACTACCACTGTGCTATCCGCCCCTAAATAACATCATTGTACAACGATATTAACATCGACGTTAAAGGATGGGTTAAGCAAGGCGTTACCATCTCGCCGAAACCACGGCCACACACCATGCCATGCTAACACGATGGTCAGCAATTACATCATTTGTTTTGCTGATGGCATCGCCCTTATAACACTAAACATTGGCCAAGCAGAACGAATGCTTGTCGACCTTGATAAAGCCTGTGGATAGATTGGTCTTCGACTAAATCTGGCAAAAGCGATGTTCACGAGGAACGGATTGGTAGCATATGCCCCTTTCACACTCAGTGGAATTAATATCTCCGAATGCTCCAGCTACGTCTATTTAGGTTGGAAAATCTAAATGATGACTAGCTTAGCTTCAGAGTTGAGGAGAAGGAACTGGGCAGTTTAGGGAACTTCCAAGAGTATCGAGGAAGCAGTCAGGAGAATAAAGAATACCTAACTCCGCGCACGCCGTTTCGACTCCACAATTCTCCCTCCCTTATCGTATGCGACAGAAACCTGGTCGCTGCGTAAACAGGATAAAAAATCACTCAGCATTATAGAACGCGCATTCGAAAGGACGATGCTGGGATAACCATCAAGCAAGAGAGTCCCAAAGCTCCGATCTACATCAACGATCAAAAATCAAAGACGCCACTCAATACGCCAAACTGTAACGATAAAATGGGCCGGACGCGTAACGCGTATGAACGACAACCGATGGACAAAAGCCATTGATTGGCTTTAGTAGTGATTGGATTCTTCGGAATGCCAAACTTACTGCAGAAAGACCACCGACCCGATTGTCACAGTTCGTTACGGAAACCCTGGAAGAAAAATATGACGCTCTACAAGTCTCTAAAGCGAGTAGAACCGATTGGGCTACTCTTTCAAGCGACAGGGATAACTGGGAGATTTATTGGTCTGTTTGAGTCACTCGACAATCAACGGCGCGACAGATGATAGAGGTGATGGATTGAAACCAAAGCGTCCAGTTGTGAATGTAATAAACGTTTCTGGTTTGCTAGACAAGTTGACTTATGGATGGAGAAAAATCGAATGATTCCCGCTGGACAGTCGACAAGCTTTCACCATTCAAATTATGGAGATATGGAAGAATAACCATTATACTCACAGATATATCTAAAGACACTTACATCAATACATGGTAAAAGGATAAAGGATAAAGCTCTCGGCGATGATCAATCAATCCCTGAGGGACACGCCATGCATTCGACTTCATTAAGCATCGTTGGAGGTGATTGAATGTATATCATGCCTTTACAATGACTCATGATGGCGTAGCGATGTATCGAGCCAGTGCTGCTATCCTCCCAGAAGTCTGGTACCAATTTGCCGACCCGGAAGAATAGAAGGCTTGGTGAGCTCGGGCGCTGGGGTCGATCATTCATGTGTGCTGCAGGGCACCACCGACCACTGTGCCACACGCACCCATACATGTAGTTATTTGATGGTTACAATACATAATAGTTAGATAGAAGACATACGTAGATTAGACATTGTAGATTACATGACTCATCGAAGAGTATATATGACCGACACGTCCATCGGGAGTACTAGCTTTTAGCCATGGTTCAACATTCCATTATGGAGCGCACAGTGTGACTTCGAAATTGACTGAATAATAAGTCGTGGCGAAAGTGAAAGTTACAAATATTGACTGAATTGGAACTGAATCTTATTTGAATCTTATTACTGAATCTTATTTGGAACGAAGACTGGAAGAACTGCCAATGTAAAAGGAACAGTGAAGAACAATGTACTTTCTTCGTATTTTTGTTGAGCAAACGCGAGGTGTTACTATTCTTTGTTCACGATTAAGTTGACGTTTCGGCGGATTTCGCCTTCTTCAGAGCCTGGAAAGGTCAAGTTGATAGCAACTCACTCGGCCAGACGCCTCCATGAACCAAACAAAGAAACTCCAAACCAAGATTTCATGGAAAGGTCAAGTTGATAGCAACTCACTCGGCCAGACGCCTCCATAACCAAACAAAGAAACTCCAAACCAAGATTTCAATCGAACACAGCTTTGCACACTCACCGCTTCCTATGAGGTTTCCACTAAGTATGTCACGTAGAGACCAACCGCACAGAAATCACATGGAAGTATAATGTACTTTCTTTCATTGATAAGCTAACATGAGGTTCTTATCAAAAATTTATTCGGCTAACGTTTCGACGTCTTCGTCTTCATCAGTGCCGATGATCCGAGTCGATGGCCCATAGATCATCGACTCTGAGGAAGACGAAGACGTCGGAACGTTAGCCGAATAAATGTCTGATAAGAACCTCGTGTTAGCTTACCAATGAACAAGGGACATTGATCATTAATACCGAGGTTAAATGAAAGTCGGTTTACAATATTACGAAAAGAAACTAAAACGAAGATAGACTCAATTATTCTCAACACAGACGAAAGTGTTCAGGAGTGGCTCGTGCCATTTGCACAAACACAGCGAGCGCACAGTTCCATGTACTGGAGCAGAGCTCAGCCGCCAGGCTCACCCGGCGCGCCCATCCGGCGAACTGCTGGGCGTGGTCAGTCGGCCTCAGCTTGGGGCGGCGGCCTCATCAGTGGCGATGAGCGGCGACGACGGCTCGACGACGTCCGCGTTGGAGCTCGCGCGGCGGGCGGTCGCTTTCGACCGAGCCCAGCGCTTCGAGGAGGCCATCTACTGTTACGGGGAGGCTGCCGATCGCCTCATCCGTCTGGTGCAAGCCAAAAAGGTTCGTGATCTCGGTTTTTCACGTAATTACGTAGTTTCATCCTCGTTACGAATTGTCGTTGTCCTCGTGTTCATAAGAGTCACCGATCTTGTGAATTTTCTCTTATCATCTCCTCATTGCTCTTGTTTATGTTTATTTCCCTTAACAAAACGGTCTTGTAATGGTCGTGGGTGCAGAAGGCTCCTCGTTATTTCTTCTCTTTATAAGTGTAGAGAATACAACAGGCGATATTTTGCACAAAACTGCATGCTTCTCAACTGTTTTCCTTGTTCAACGTCATCAATTGGCTGAATCAGCGCGCTAATCAGCTTCATTTCAATTGTGAATCATATTCTGCTCATATTCTGTTATCTAGTGATTGACACTTTATCCTTCAGGTTCCATCGAGCTTTCGTAAAAACGTCACCGAATACGTGGAACGTGCGGAGTTCTTAAAAAAAGACTTGCCTATCTTGGTAGAACAAGCCAGGGTACTGCTTGTTTTTCCTTGAAGATTCTGCTTTGAATATCACTTTCCTTAGTTAAGGCAACTAAACCTCAGAATAGAATTCTGTTGGAGAAGGCCGAATTCACGTGTTTGAAGGCTCAGCTATTGGATGACTCAAAGCATGCTGATCTTGCCATAGACCTCTATTCGGAAACTGTTCAACTCTGTATTGGAGCGGTATAGTTTCTCCATTAAAAATCTTCATCCGTTCCTTTGCTGTTCTCCGCGAACTCCTTTGATTGCTTCCCAAATTGTTCAGAGTAAGGATTGTGAGGATGAAGAACTTCGATCAAAGTTACGCACACTTGCCAATAATGCGTTGGAGCGTGTCGAGTTTCTTAGGAATCAACAGAAGTCTGATCTCACTGAAATCCTACCTGACGTTCCATCTGACGGTATTTTTTAGTTGGTTCTCCAAATTTCGTGGCTTATTGACCATTTCAGAGTTGTCTCGGATCAATCTAGACGAAAGCACACAGTCACAATGCTCCCAACCTCCTTCGGCATCACCCATGTTGGGCCGCAAGGTTTTTCAACTGCAATAATTTTTCTCGTGTTTTGTAATTTGTGCATCCATATTCATAGAATTATACTTACTTATTTGAATACTTAGATGGCCCATTCTCACTAGTTGTGTGAGCCCCAGAAAGATTTCCATTTTTTTCGGAATTTTGCTGATGTAGCTACTTTGATTCTCTGAAGTCACGAGGTCAGCATATCCAAACTCTGTCCCAGGTCGTCACAAGCAGTTGCCGTCCCTGTGGATCAGATGGAGATTTGCCAGCATGCAACTAGTTTGATGCCAGCACGGTGGTGGATCCTGCTATTATTTCACCCTTAGCTGGGCTTCCTGATGGAAACGCCGGACTCCCCAGCTTGGGAGGCCCTGCTGGGGAGATGATTCTCCCCGCTGTGTATCAAAACCCGACAGCCAAGAACACCTCCCAGCCACGATGACGCAGTAAACCATTGGGAAGCATAGAATTATAGCTCGTTGTAATTGCGAATAACGAATGGTCGGTTTAGGATAACGGCCTAACGAAAGAAGAACTCGCAGTACTTGCTATCACTTCTAATATCAACGGGCGGAAATACGTGCCTTTCCTCTCAGTCGATCTTAAGGAGAACTTCAATTATTCGATACCATTTAGGTACTTTAGCTTTTTATGCAGTTCCAATAACTGCCCTAACAGTTGATGCTATTTACCCCATTCAGTGATAAAGATGGCAAACTTTCATTGACGAAGAAACAGAAGAATCGCCTGAAGGCGTGGCTGCGACCTCACGAAATTTTCGGCGAACCGAAGCTGATAGACAATATTGATAGTGGAACCATTAAGCAGGTTGTGTTTAAGGGTTGGACAGTTTTGTACTTGTTTTTGATCTTTGTTGCTCTTATATCCAATTCTTTGGATCAAAAATGCCTTTCTTATTTGTTAATTATTTTTCTTGTCAAGCAAAAACATTTGTTGCAATGTGGCTACTGTCATCAATGAAGTCATCATCAAGTTAGGTTTGCTAAACTTTCATAAAGAGCGCGTCTAGCGCAGTGGTCGGAGGAGCCTTGCAATACTAATGAGATCGATCCCCGCGCCCGAGGCTCACCGATCCTTGCATCTTCCTGGCGTCGGCAAATTGTTATCAGACTTGTCTAGGGGGATATTGTCTTGAGACATCGACAGGATACTGCAAGTCGTTGTACAGGCAGGCATGCATTTAATCACATTTAACTATGCCTTGTGAAGTTGAATGCATGGCGCATTCTTCAGGGATTGATCAACGTCGAGAGCTTTATCTTTTAACTTTTTCGACTTTCATATACTGCAACACTTATCGTTGCAGTTAAGTGTATGAGGATTTTTTAAGTGAACAAACTTCGATTTCTGACTTAGAAGTTCTAGAAAGGTCGCACTGTTTTATGCCTTTAACAAGAGTTTGAATAATTTTGTAGTAGTTCCAAAGAGCTTCCGATTATCATTCGCGGCCCTCTGGTGACCTGGCACATTGAAAGTAGCTGTTTTTTCAGACTGTAATTTCTGATTGCTCATTCGTAGCTTCTTTATCAGTTGCTGCTCGTTATGAAAGACGATTTGGCAAGCAAATAATCACCAGGTGTTTGTTGTCTTGCTTCAGTTTTTTATGGTATAATGTAAACCGTTTATAAAATTGTTTTAGTATAATATACCCTCAGAACAAGGCTGGATTACCGGTGTATAATCCTGCTGGGAAATATATGGTGAAATTCCATATTAATGGAGTGTGGCGAAAGGTAACAAATCATGGATTTTCAGACAGAACTTCTTTACTTAATTCAAACTCATCTTTGTTATTTAAAATAAAGAAATTATCTAAAAATTGTGCGTAATGCACGAGCTTCCGAAAAGGATAATCGTGGTTCGATCTGGCTCGGGATCCAAGTTTTGCGAATATCTCAGCATCGTTGTGGTAGTATCTAAACGTCTTTGCGAATAGGGTAAAAGTTTATCTTTTTCAGTAACATGGAGCGCTATGACATTCCCAGTAGTAGTTCTGGAGATCCTTGAAAAATGCATTAACTTATTAACGCAAGGTCCGCAAAGTGGTTTACCCCGTTTCGTCAAAATGTTCATCCCTGCACACTTCACTAGAAATCAGAAGTACAGTACCCAAAAAAAGCGGTTACCTTGTCCACCATTAGACCATATAATGCTATTTTACCTTGTGCATGCATTGCCATGGAGGCTGTTATGAATTAGATGGCGTCTTAGTGTTCGATAGTATTTCAGTCGCTACAATCGAATTCTTTACACAGACCATCTTTAAACATCGCTTTATAGCCGTACTTACTTCGAGATAAAGGACAGATTAAACGGGACCTTGTTTTCACTAGCCTTGTCGTTTGAGAGCTTTGTTTTTTGTTTAAACCCTTACCGAGAAGTACCGCGTCAAGTTCGGGGGTTCCTCCTCCTGCTTTCTTCTTGTGCACAGGCTGGTGACTGTTCGAAACATGTTTCTCGCTAGCGCCATTTTCCTGTGTGAACGGTAAGAGGAGAAGTAATGAATCAGTATGTATATGTTACTTGGCTTCCGGTACCATTTCGGATTGTAGACATTTTCGGTTAATTTGAGCGTTTAGTAATGGAGCCAGTTCTCCTTCGGTTTCGCTTGGCTAAAGTTAATGTACTCTGACTGTCCATTCAATAAATCAAAACATTTATCCATTTCCTGTTGTATTGATGAGATGGCAGAACAGTCGTGGATATACGTACAATAGAGAAATGACTGGGAATCGATTACTGGACTTTCTATTTTATACGTAAATGCAAAGGCAGCGCTTTTCGTTAGTCGCCGTCCCGTTGCCAAACCTATCATTTGTGTGAAATATTTACCGAACCATTTGAAGATTTAGCAGTTTAGACACTCCTCCAAGAGGGCGATAAGCCGATGAATGGAGAAGCCATACATAAGTATCCATGATTGTTGCTTCTTGTTACTGCATAGAGAGCTCGTGGATGGCTAACAGCCCCAAGTCATTAGTCTCGTGACAGTACGAAGCCGCTGTAATCGTTGTCCTAAGGTTCAGGACGGTAGTATGGTTCGGAGAAGGATTAGAGCTTCACTTCACTCATTTACTGAGCTGGACTTCGAAGGTTGCTGTATCGGATCCACTTTTCATCATAAATCAATGCGATGGGGAAATGTATTGTATTTGTGGTGTGAAATAAGTGCAGAACGAACTTCTAAAAGACCATCTCTCTGTCTGTCATTCGTTCGAATCATGCAGAAAACATTTATTAAGGTTTTCCACCTTTCATACATCTTTAGAATTAGCAGAGATTGTTGAAACGTGAATTTTGAGTTTTGTTGATCGCACCGTTAAGGTAAAAACTGGTTGAGAGGAATACAAAGCAAGGCCCTCAGCGTCCTCAGCAATGCAGTGGCTAACACATGACCCGCTAGAAAGGGTAGTCACGGGTTCGAATCTCGTCTGGGGACCAAACTTTGGAAATATCTCAAACTTTTAAGCAGTTTTTGGAAGGATGACTTTGATTACCATGATATCGTCGTTCTCAAATGCTTGTAGACGTCCACCACCTCCATTATAAAGACATCACTGGAATTCCACGTATCATCCCTGTATTTTGCATTGAGAAGCCCTTTTCTGACTAATACTTCGATGATAGTTCGAGTTGTTTTTCTGTTTCTGTTGCTTTTCTTCCAAGTTTCAGTTCATAAAGCAAAAGGATACGACTTTCTTGACCTGAGGGTACCAACGTCAACCACCCAAAAATAATTGTAATTTGAATATTGTTACTAATTGTGTTTAGTAAATGTTAGAAAGATCAGCAGTCTTTTTTTCACTTGCCTGATACTGCTGTACTATCTAGTTGTAACTACAAGTGTTAAATTTAAGCACTGCTTAAAAAAATTTTAACAGGTGATAATTGATGATTACCTACCAACGGGAGAGAGCTGCGAATTGTTATGTTCGTATAGCCAGAATAAAGGAGAACTATGGGTTTCTTTGCTAGAGAAGGCCTATCTCAAAGTGATGGGCGGTTACAACTTTCCTGGATCGAATTCGGTAATTTGCGCCATTGTTGCTGTGTTCCGTTCTAATTGTTCTACTGATGAGTCGTTAAAATATTCAACTGTTGCGCTTTTGATACGCTCTGTGACATAGGAAAACCGTTTTTAGAACATCGATCTGCACGCTCTAACGGGATGGATTCCAGATCGTATTTCAATAAAGAAAGATAGTCTTGATTTTGACGGAAATCAGGTTCGTGTTCACAAGTATAAACTGAGATCGTCTGTCCCTTAAAATGTGTGAGAAGAGGAATTTTCAGCTTCAATAACCTAGGTTTTCGAGAAGCTTCTATCTCGTTTTCATCGTGGCGATTGTTTGATAACATTAGCCACTGGCAAATTATCTGCAGAAACTTGTGAAAGAGCGGGCCTCGTAGAATGTCATGCCTATGCAGTTCTGGACTTACGCAAAATAGATGTAAGTGAGGATTTGGAGTTTCTACCTGAGGTAGGTTTGCCTTATGACAAAGACGTTTATTACGTCGTATGACTTAGAAGCTCGCACTTCGTTGTGTCCCTCTAGTATGCTGGCCTCATAGTATTAGCCCTTGGTTTCGATACATTGCCAACCGACCGTGTAGTCCCATTTGTGGTCCCGAAGTTTTGGGAAGTTCTCACATGGACTTTTGTTATCTGTATGGTTTTCGATCCATATCTACATCTAGTATACTGAAACGAACAGTATTAAGGGCAAGCGTCTATTGATGGTCAAAAATCCGTGGACTCATCTTCGATGGAAAGGGCGGTACTCAGAAAACGATGTGGTCAGTTGGAGTCCCACGCTATGTGAACGTCTTGATTATAATCCTTCGATGGCGAAAAGCAAGGACGATGGTATGTAACATTTTTGTTTTTGTTATCTTCGTCCACATGATATTTTTGCTTATTCAAAGAGTCTTTAGGGGTATTCTGGATTGATTTTGAATCTGTTTGTCACTTCTTCGATGTGTTCTATGTAAATTGGAATCCTTCGCTTTTCCCATTCACTTATGGATTACATGCGTTAGTTTTAATAGACTGTTTTTGTAAAAATTTTGATGGAAAGTGTATCTAATTCTATACTGCTTACTGAAAAATATTGTTGGGTTGGGATTACTCATGAGTGTTTAAGAAACGTAGAGATATTTTACTTTTTTATTTTTTGCCTAGTACAATTTTCACGGCATGGTACTAAGTGAAATACAACCACAATGTTGCTGAGATATTTACAAAACTCCAGACGAAGGTGTCTACGGTGGGGAACGAGAGCGCTATTACCTTTTGCAGGGAGTAACGCGTTCACCACCACACCATGCGGGTCCTTCGTTTCGCCAGATTTCAACTACAGCCTCAGTTTAACTGGCTTCAGTGCCTATGTGGGCTCCCCAGATCAATCCCGTTGACAGATGATTCCTGATGGCGCTGATCGATAGAACTAGCTGAGAGACAGGCGAAACGAAGGACCCATATAGTGTGATGGTGAACGCGTTACTCCCCGGAAAGGACAATATCGCGTTCGTTCCTCACCTTAGACACCTGTGGTCCAGGGTTTTGCAAATATCTCAGCAACAATGTGGTTGTATTTCGCTTAGAGAGATATTATCAGTAATGTGTAAGTTTTAATTGACTGGTTTCCAATCTTAGCACTTCCATTTGCGCCTACGACACTCATATTCTCACTCCGTATGTGCACAATTCTCCCTTCATGGTTTACAGCATTGTCGTGAGAAGGAAGATTTCGTGGGTTTAAGATAATACAGCAGGATGTGTCCGAGGCAGGGTAACTTGGAATGAGAATGAATCCGACATTTCCAAATTCGCCAGAGACTGAGGGATGAAGGAACCTATTGCCACGGTGGATTCCAGCAGACAATCTATGACTAATTTCTTGTTGATCCAGCTAGTTAGGCGGTTAACCCTGCAAGTTCTTCAGCTAAAAGTTCGCTATTTTTTATTTTGCTTGTTGCAGGTTGTAAATGCCTTGCCGAAATCCCTTTCTCTTTCAGAGCGTGGAATTCTTGCAATGGACCGGTTAAAGATCTTTATTCTGTTGCTGACAATCCACAGTATTCTCTCGAGGTATTTAACAAAACAACAAGTGCGGTGTGGATACTGCTTACAAGACATATCACTGATATTGTGTGTTTTATATTGTTTTTGAGTCAGTTCTCACATAGTTGTTTTTGCTCACCAAATCATCCTATTCTTTGTTTTAGTCGGATTTTGCTGACAATAAGGAATATATCACCGTTATGGTGTACAAATCTGGGAAGAAAATATATATTCCAGGTTGGTTAGCTTTCTTTCTAGTGTGCTTACTTGTTGCGTAACGAGTTAATCCATTTCAGTTGATCCTAAACCTCTTTATGAAGGAGTACGTATTAACAGTCCGCATTATCTTTGTCAAATGGTTATTACAGAGCAAGGAACCCTGAAGTACACGTTAGTTGTCGCACAAGTAAGTTTTCTTAAGTATTTAACGTAGATTCTTGATATTAACGTCTTCTCTACTTTGTTTCAGTATGAGAAAATGAATACAATATACTATACTCTTCGTGTTTTCTCATCAAGTCAGTTCACTTTGAGACCGATCAAAACTCAGTACAATGTCAAGAAGACAGTTAGTCAAGTTTTATCTTTTATCGAAGTATCTTCATTCTTTTTTAAAATCACTTTCTGCTTAGGTTACTGGAGAATGGAAGGGACGTACAGCTGGTGGGTGTGGAAATGGACCAAGTAGGGAGAGCTGGAAGTTAGTACCATGTAAAATTACCGTGAAGTATCGCATTGTTAAGAATAAGTTTCTTTCGCTCCCTAGTTGATTTGTATGGAAATTTCACGTGGATTGTGTTGCAGATACCCAACTTCTTTTATCTTCTTCATTTCAGCAACAACCCTCTTTATGAAATCAACTTGGGAGAAAGCAGTGATCAAAATCTTCTTCTTATTGATCTTAAAGGTCCGAAGGAATATAGTGTTGGTTTCGAAATGCGACAAGTTTCGTCGGCAAGAAATATAGCATTCGATAAGAAGGACTCTGGCGTGTTTAGGTGGGATATAGTCTTTAGGACGTATTATAATTTCCCAAAGTATCTTTTTGAAAGATATTGTGGTGATTTAACTTATTTTGGGCCTGGATATAATGTAATCGCTCTGGAGAAAGTGCCGGCTGGTGTATATACTATACGGCCAATGACTTTTCAGGCATGTTGTGGTTTTTTCTGTTTATTTCTGTGGTCATTGCTATACTTTTTAGTTTTAGGCGGGTCAAGAAGGACCCTTCATCCTCAAAGTGGAAGCCTCGTGCGAGTTTCTTATCAAAAAAATCCAGTAATTGTAAGATTTCTTCTGAGGAAATAAACTTAGGAAATAAATAAGTTTTATTCTCCTTGTTTTGATGTTTGTAGTTGATCTGTAATAACCATGTCACTAAATGACGTGCTTGTTGGAGTCCACCCTTAAAGTACATGTGCTCAACGTTATACTATTTGAGATAAACCATTACCTCACCTCGTACTGTTCATATCAAATTACTTCTACTGTGGTTTTAGACCATTTTTATCTTAGTGTTCTCGTTGTTTTTAGTATTTGTAATAAATGTTTTCTTCTAGCAAGAGGTAGAAGCTTTTCAAAATAATGCCATTCTTGTGTGCCTTTTACTTGCTGATCAATTTCGTTAATGGAGATTGGTATACAGAAGAGTTGAAGATTACTCGGTTAGCGCCTGGAAATCTAATGGCTGAGTTTCGTTTTCGGATCGCTAGTGATAACCTAGACCTAGGTACGTATAAAGAGCATCGGATTCTACTCTTATGTTTAATCCATAGTGGAGTTGACTTTCATTTTAGGTCCAGAGTATTCACTCTTTCCCCGGATTTTTGCAGAGCTTATCAATGCTCATTCGATATCAGAAATATCATTCCTGTTAACTCAGGGACGATGGTACAGTTCCCGTTGGGGCTTACCTCCGCAGCCAAATGGACCTACTGGGGCAAGCATCCATGCATGGCTTCGTGGAAATGAAACACAGTGAGTGACTTGGAATACCAAGCGATGAGTGTGAACAGCAAATCATGTATGGCTTTGACTTACGAGATCTTTTATAAGTTATGAATGTGGAGGTTTACAATGAGAACTCTCATGGGTGAGCACTGCTTTTAGACGACGAGTTTTGTCGGGTAAATAATAAAAAATCTTACGAAACCATTCCAAAGGTGGACCATAATGTGATCAGATGGTGGGCGTGTTTTCTTTCTTTCGCACCACTCAGTGAGAGGGGATGTTTCAAAAGCATTGGAAGGTATATAGCACATCAAGGATTTAGAAGTTTTCAAAAACGTAGAAAAACCTTATTATAGAGCCGCCCCGCGAGATTAGTTGTCTTTGGGCATGTGATAATCAGTATAAGACCTACTGGAACCACACTTTTGACTTTTATTTGCGGCAAATTCTTTATGGCAGGGTATTTAATGAAATGCAGCCATAGTGATGCTGAGGTGCAAAGAAAACTCGGGACCTCAGGTGCCCTCAGAACCCGCGATTACTCTCTGTAGAGATTCACGTGCTATACACTGCATCAACCGGGTCTAACGGTGTTATCGGCAATGACCACCTGTCAATGAGGACGATATAGGAAGCACAAGTCGGTATTGAACCCAGATAGTTCAGCTGTTGGGATGTACACACACAACTCAAATTCGTTTCGGTAACTGAGAACTGTGAAGTTTTAGGCGCAGCGAATTATTCAAGTACATTTCAACAACGGGATTGTTGGCGATTTTCTCGGGAAGTAGTTGTCGACGAATAGTTGACTAGCAGGATAACCGACGAATATGTTGATGAAGCAGGGTTTCATAGCCCAACCTATTCATGTTTTGCAGCATCTATCGTGGGAGAAGATAAGGCGCTTTCTGTTGATCATTTCTGGATACGTATACTGCAGTGTTTAGGATTTCAACGATTTCGTAAAGCACCGTACTTGGAATGTTGCGTTAGTACTGAATACGTTGTATTACATGATTCCCTCTCCCGAAAAAGTCATCATATTAATATTTCTATGAAAATTAGGCTTTGAGGAATACTTACTACCATCATCTCGACCCGGCGTAGGTAATGAATGTCATCTATTGACCTACAAGATCGATTGTTCATCATCATTCACAAAGCGATGAATCCTCGTTCTTGTGTAGAAGGATTTTTTTGGAGTTTTGTAGTTGACGCTTTAATAATCGGCTTTAGATGGTTGTTTCCTAGGCATTTACGACATCCGTCTCGAAAACTTGTGTCAACCTTACGACACCTTAGAACTATCCGTCAATCGTACGTTCGTATATCGTTCCTCGACCCATGCTTTGACATTTATAGATGCTGCTATTGGTTTATGTTAAAGTTTGAACTCACGAAGTAAAGTGATGCGATTTTCATGCTTCGAGATTATAGCTTCAATCGGCCTAGAATCATAAATTAAAGCGAATAAAAGGCGCAATCCCTGAGGGAAGTGCCATGCGTTCGACTTCATCAAGCATCTTTGGAGGTGATAGAATGCGTGTCTCGCTCTTACAATGACTCGTGGTGGCCTACCGATGTATCGAGCCACTGCTGCTATCCTCTCAGACAAGTCTGGTACCAATTTGACGAGCTCGAAAGGATGGAACGTTTAGTGAGCCAGGTGCATGGGGATCGATCCTACGTGTATTCCAGGGCGCCGCGCGGCCCTATTGTAAATCAAATGCAAGAAAAAGTACTGCAAGTCTAAATATTCAACCAGTAAATGTGCTTTAAAAGATAGGCAGTAGTGTAAGCAGCAAGTATATTTTGCAGAGTTGTTTTTACACATTTCATGACGATGAAGGCAACCCTTAGTTTTTTACCCTCTAGAGTATACACGTTGAATATCCCAGGTTATCAAAAGCTATATGTTATTCAAGGACGCGTGTGGCGCAGTGGTCGGAGGCGCTCTGCAACACACGTGGAATCGGTCGCCGGGCCTTTGGCCCACCAAGCCTTCTATCGCTGCGAAGTTGGCAAATTAGTACAGACTTGTCTGGGAGAATAGTAGCACTGGCTCGATACATTAGTAGGCCACCGCGATTAATTATAGAATCCACATATACATTCCATCACCTCCAAACGACGGTGTTTACAAGATTGTTCCAGTGCCGTAAGCACAGTGGCAAATTTGAAAGAGTTGGCAAAGTGGCAAACGAGAAAGAGTGCCTCTTCAATTATCAGTATGATAATCACATTTCTATTGGTTTCAGTGTGGACACAAAGTGGCGAACCTTAATAAATTCACTGAATGGGCTATTGTGTACAGCGATGACTAGAGTAGTACCCGAACAAACGTCATCACCCAGGTTGGCGTTCAGAAGAACTGGTTCGAGCACAGAGCCTATGGTCCACTTGCGATATAGTGCTGTGGGCAAGGAAACTATCTGTACTGAAAACATGACACCGTGGAAAAAACTTCTGCCTTGCAAACAGGTCTGCATCACTTCATTCATTAGTTGGTTTTTTGTGAAACTGTGTAGCGTTCTCCTTTTTTCTGCAAATGTAAGACCGTCCCGTTTTTCATTCAGCATGGACTCGTAACTCTTCTTAATCCAATAAAGTTATTTGAATCGGTTTATCATTCGGTTGGATTCCAGCTGCACCCTGTCTGTGAGGTGATAGTTTATGTTGATTGGATGCTAATTTAGGTTTACTTTTCTTTATATCCCACTTTTATATATGTATTAGTTTTTATTTTATGCCAAATTTACTAAATTCCTAATGCTCCAGGGTTTACAATGTAATTGGTTACTCGACCTCGTCGTTAACACTGTCTTCGACATTCCATTGAAAACAGGGAAGTTAGGTGTGGTGTACTTTTGGAAACTTCCGTTTTTTTTTTTCAAAATTCGTAGTGATTCAAAAAATTCTCTTTTTTATTTTTTACACATCGTATGTGAACTTATTCGCTCAGTCGAGACCATACAACGGAAAACCAGCTTCCAGCGGTGCGGCGGTAAACCATGAAGGAAATTTGTTATTTCCATTCGGGAGGCTGAAAATAGTGCTTTGCCATAAAGGAACCCAGCAAGCTTCCATCCATCACTTTATCGCGGAAAACAGGAGAAATAGCATCTTGGCAAGCTGCGATACTCTTTCGAAGAGTGCACTACTCTTGCGATACTCGCGGTTTTCGAGCGAGCGAATCCCAGTAGATGGTCTTGACGCGTTGAAGGGAAACTAGAATTTCACTGGTGTCCGCCGTCGTTAGTTCAGTTATTGATAGGGTAAGTGGTGATACAAGCGATTTCTTTGCAGCTTTATCATTTCCGAAAAGGTTGAGTTGAAAAGTTTGAGCTTTCGGGTTCTTGATTTCATTTGGCACGAGGAACGATGTTGTCGAATGGTTTTGCTGCGATATTTTTTGTACTGTTTTTGTAGTAGCTTCCCCAGAAAGGACGTGTACCAGAGCTGTGCGAGAACGCCTATTTTGTGCGTATTGGAATTTACAAAGAAAAATATTTATTGGAACTAGTTTGTTCGATCCTGCGAATGCGACGATTTTTTGGTTCTTGTATATGTGGAGAAAGACTGTTACTGATGGAGTATATAGAGATGTTTCTGCTCTACGGCATACCACGGAGGGTGTGACTCATATACGAGTCATGTTATCGGTGGCGAGCAATTAGGTGTTCCACCCAGTCACCATTGAAAATTGTGGGTACTTGCGGAAGAGGTAAATGTGTTAATTTGTTGTCTATTTAAGATTGGAACTTCTCAGAGTTGTTCAACAGAGAGATCACAGGAGTTTGTAACGCTGCCTCTAGCAGTAAGGTAATAGTGAAACTGAATGAAAAGGTGTGATATCGGCAATTGTTCTTTTTCCTTTTTTCTTGGTTAAAGCAGACTTGAAAACCTAAAGCGGTATTGACTTATATCTTGCAGAATTTGCATCTCATACCAAAACCAACCGAGATTGTTGGCGAGTCATATGCTGTGTATGATCTTCAAAAGATTCCTTCGGTTCGTGCCTTCTCGGTACATGGTTTGTACAATCATATGTTCGACAGTACATCAAGACAAGGGAATGGATCAATAAGGTCGACCGTAAAGCAGTTAAAGTTTGCGTTTCTCGATTCTGAGTTATTCCAGAGATTTGTTTTTCAGTGTTTCGTCGTCTATCAGTGGAACGGATCAACAGTCTGCCGTTTTAATATCCATTCTTAAAAATGAAGGGACGTCTCAAGATATAATTTACACTCACCAACTCCCTTGGTTTCTGTTGATATATTACCACACACTTTCTTTGACATGCAGATATCTAACAGATCGACCAGAGCAAGTGGTGGAGGTGCTTCTACTTAATGCGTGATTATTTACAGTTTTAATTTGGTGGTTAGGGATAACATCTTAAGGCATTTAGAGTCCTATCCTACACAAACATTACTTCGTTCCCTCACTAGCGCGAAAGAGACCAGCTCTTCTCGAATTACAGTTCGAGCTTCCCGGCGATTCAGAATGTCGTGTTCAGCTGGAGTTCGAGAAAGCATTTCTAAGGTTACGCACTTCCATTCCTTATATGTTAATGGCAAAACAACTAAGTCACCATGTCTCTGTGGTACTATTGGTTAATCTCTGTAAAACGTTATATTTCAGTACTTCTGCATGCCTTTCGTACGCGTATTTCAGGAAGTGAATTATATTAAAAATTTAGAATCCGCGAATATCCGCCTGATGCAAACCATGGGATGTATATACCCGGTGCCGTTGTTACTTTGTTAGGCAGTAATAATACGTCAATTTGGAAACACCAGGATCAGGCTGCAAATACAGAAATGTGAGTGTCATTTTGAGCTTCTTGATTTACAGACAGCAGAAGATACTAATAGCACCAAGAAACAAGAAGCTATGAAAGAGGTTTATCACACTTACACTGGTATTTAACGTAGATATATCTCGTGTTGTCACTTTAGTTGGTGAATGTGCCGCTTTGAGCCAAGAGAAGCGAGGAGCATCGACTCGGATCATTGGCTCTGAGGAAGACGAAGACGTCGAAACAGCCGAAAATAAACACCATTGTCAACCTCGTGTAAGCTCATCAAAGAAAGAATACATATTGATTAGTGATACTGAGGTTCAAGAAAAGTCGGTTTCGAAATATTACTACGCTTTGTGCTAGTTGATAATAACACCAACTTCTGCACGATGCGCGCGATGATTATGTCCGGAAGAAAAACAAGTTGTTATCACCGGACATTATCATTATATCCACCGTCAGCATCGTGTATAAAAGGGCATCACTGAGTAAGGATACCTCATTCGAGGAGATGGCTCACTGTAGAAGGCCTGACTCGACACGAAGGCGAAGCTGCCACGTCGAGACGTAAAACAAGCGAGGACCATCGACTCGGATCATCGGCTCTGAGGAAGACGAAGACGTCGAAACGTTAGCCGAAAATAAATATATTTATCAACCTCGTGCAAGCTTATCAAAGAAAGAATACATATTGAAGAATTCACGTAATTTCTGTGCGGTTGGTCTCTACGTGACATACTTAGTGGAAACCTCATAGGAAGCGGCTCTGAGGAAGGCGAAATCCGCCGAAACGTCAGCTTAATCGTGAACAAAGAATAATAACACCTCGCGTTTGCTCAACAAAAATACGAACAAAATCACTTGATCAATGCCGAGGTTAATAGAAAGTCGGTCGTGGTAGTTACATATTGAAGAGTTTTTAATCGTTATATACAATACTTCAGATCTGTTCATCTCCTTCCCCACATCCCTCTCTTCATTTTTGTCTTTTTTTATTCTTTCTTTTTCAAGCCGAAGTTTCTTGTTTAGGTCAACATGTGAGTCTCTATTTTTCTGTGATCCTGTTGTTCTACATGGAAATGTGCTTCTCATCACCCTTCCGGTGCCAGACTTTAGTATGCCATTCAATGTGATCTGCTTCGTCATGACAACAGTCTCTCTCTGTTTTGGACCAATACATGGCTTTTCAACAAAAATGTAATGTCTTCATCTCTGGCAATATCCTCAAGAAGAGAAATATTTCTATTTGAGGCTAATCCCGGTCAATTCTGCACTGCCGAGCTCATCTTTCATGAAGAAGGTGTTCCGCTCGTTTTTAGCTGCTCTTCTGGTCTTGGCGGCTTATGCGCAATACCGAGAAATGAGTCTTCATGAGATTCGGAGGAGCATAGAACAGTTCTTTGAGAAAATGAATAGTGTTTAAACTACGTAAAGGAACTTTAAAGTAAGAAAACTATAGCTGAAAGAGCTAAAACTTGACACATGTTAGATGCAGAACACCATTGTTCCACTTGGGTTTTTCAAGTAAACTGAATTCGGGTGGTTAACTACGTTGACGAAATAATGTCTTCTCGTATTCGCTTCGAGCTTTGTAGAAAAAAATTTTTCTTATGTTTAGGATATAAATTGGAAATTTCAGGGTTGTAAAGGAGAATGAATGTGGTTCATGTTCATGTTGATTCTTTATTACTAATTGCATGCGTTTATCGTATTGTGATGTTGTGAACTTGTTATTTTTGTTTCATAGCATAATTTATAGTGTATAATAAAGCTGTGAAAAGCTAACCATTTATAATTCTGACTTCCAATATCCCTCCCAATGGTTTAGGGCCTCATTGTGGCTGGGAGGTGTTCCTGGGTGTCAGGCTCTGAGGATTCATCTTCCCGGCATGGTCTTCCAACCTGAGAAGGAGTTCGGTACTTCCATCAGGAAGTTTAGCATTGTAAACTAATACCAGGATTTGTCACCGTCCTGTTACCTGGTGGCAAATCTCCCCTTGATTCACAAGGGCCGTGACTGCTTGTGGCGATGACGAACTGGGGCAGACTTTTGCCAGGCTAACCTCGAGACGCCAGAGAACCACTCTGGCTAAGCCTGCAAAACTTCGAAGAGGTAGGGATTATGCTGGGATCTGCACAACCAGTGAGCACGGGCCATCCAAGTATTGAAGTAAGACTTCCAATAACTTTCTTTTCTTAATTCTTGCAGAATTCGCCGCCCACTCCAGTGGGATGAATTTATGGATGTTAGAAAATGAAACACAATTGCGACGTGAGGGAAACCACCTAGTCTGGAACAGAGTTTTAAACCGTAAACCAAATGAAATTGAAATTTTACGAAAGGACTTATCGCAGACAAGTGTGATAGCAATTTCTCGATCCGAAAGATACACAAGGAGGATGGCTAGCTCTGGGGTAGTCGAACCGAACTTTTGCCGGTAATTTAAATAGTGACTCCAGCGTTGCGCTACCCACGGCCTACACATTTATAAGAGCGTTTTGAAATGCACTAGTAAGCTTCTACCTCCAGATCCAGTTTTTTACCTCATGCTTAAACCTCAACCTTCATTAGTTTTGGTGTTCTCGTGAATCCGTTTTAGTCATTAGTAGTTGCTCCAACCTATGGGAACACTTTTACAAGCATAGCATTTCACCATCCACTGTGTTCGTCTTGCGAGAATGCATAGAAAAATTGTTAATAGCCGTTCATCACAGATATCGCTCATTCATTACAGATATCGCAAACATATATCCGAATATCGTCCGTTTTTATTTCTCTAACAAGCATTATTCCAATGTTTTAATTTCTATTTGCTACCTACTTTTTTGACGGGAATGTATCATATAAAGTACAACACAAGGTTGTTGAGAAATGAGCAAAACTCGGACCTTAGGCCATATTTGAACCCGTGATTACCCTTTGCGAGCTCACGTGTTATACATTGCACCAACGGTGACTCTTACCTTGCCTTTCTCTCATCTAGTTTTTTAAGTTATCCCCAGAGCAAAATGATTCCTTTGAAACCTCTTCCGCTTCCGCCCCACACCCCCTCCCCCTCTCCACCCTAATATTGGGTGCGTAAGAACAAGCTTAGATAACCGATTTGGGAACATGTTCCTATTTTTCCTATTACATCCGTAGTAGTAGAGGGCACGTGTGGCGCAGTGGTAGGAGGCGCCACTGCGACACACACGTGGGGTCGATCACCGCGCCAATGGCCACCAAGCCTTCCATCCCTCCGGGGTCTGCGAATTGGTACCAGACTTGTCTGGGAGGATAGCAGCAGTGGCTCGATGAATAGGTTGGCCACCGCGAGTCATTGTAAAGGCCAGATATGCATTCAATTACCTCCAAGCGATACTTAATGAAGTCGAATGCATGGCGCGCTCCTCAGGAATTGATCAACGCCGAAAGGTTTATCCTTTTTTTATTCGTAGTAGTCGCCTCCGATTCTAATGTAGACCTTATGGATGGAAACCAATCAATAAGGAGAAGATATGCGAACACTTCCTTAGCTTGAAACTATTCCTTGTGCAACCAATTACTTCATTCCTATGGATTCAATGAGTAACTTGGAGTTTTGTCTGAGGAAGCGAATGCTCTGAATCGAGTAATCTTCATAGTGAGGGATGAAATCATGTTCTTGTCTCCATGAATTTATAAACAAGACAAAAATGTAGCATTGAGCTTGAATGAAATTTCTAATAACCAAGGAGCCTCGTAGAGTCTTTGGCACTATAACTCGTTGACCATCACTGATCATGTAAGAGGCAGAGATTGTCCGCCAGCGCAGTCTCGTACCTGGAAATGTATGGGAGCGTTTGCCTAACTCCTATCAGTCGGATGTTCTCGTCACTGCAGCGGTATTACCAGTACGAAGCGTTCACGATTTCTGAATTAGACGATCGCTACAGGGCGATTGTACCATTTCTCAGAAGAACACCGTCACTGAAAATGATCCCACCGCAGATAGTGATTTTTGCAAAGTGGGAAAATCTTTGCTGCTTCTCATGATAAAGCAGTCTCGACTAGATACAGCTAGAAAACGAACTCTGTTAGGATATACTCGGTCAAGCCTTCAGTGATTAGTGCATATTCCTCGAATACTAGCGACGGCAGGCTGCCCTTCATCACCTTGGATGTAGGTGAAATAGGAATAGTCTCTGACGAGGCTTGATGAAAGGTCAACGCTTCTCGTAATCATCGAATTCCACAAACAGCGAACGTGTTTCCGAAAATATCACACACGATTTCGACGAATGAACCAAACTCAAGGAAAGGCGTCTGTATTGGCAGTGTCTTATCTTGCTCTTTCCTTAACCTTTTATTTTATGTTAGTTTGTACTTTATAACCACTTACAGAGGCGACATGAACGGCAAATAGTGTTGTTCATGCGTCATTTGTTTGTAAGAACATTTAGTTACTCAAGTAAGTGATAAGGAGAATGCAGGCCTTCTTTTCATAAATGCCAATAAAATGTCAAATAAAAGTGCTATCAGATAAGTAGAACCTATTTTTTTCTTACAGTACTGCACAGTAGTTACCTTGGAAAATCAATACGATGTATTTTTCGGAGAAAGGTGTCCTCATATCTTGACGAAGTCTTTTAGAGAACGAAAGTAGCGTGAAAATCACTGAACGATGCACGTCTCACCAGCAGACAATCGGATAGATGACCTGTTTGTCAAACCTCCTATGGGAAAACTAACCTTCAGTTTTTTTTTCAGAAAAGGCAGTAATTTGTTAGAACACCTGCAACCCAGCGAACATCATTGTAATGTTTCTCCACAGAGATTTCTGTCCTCGCACTATTAACGGGAATAAAATTGGGCGAATGAATGTACCTCGTCAGTTCAGAGTAGTTAGTTGAAGATGATTGAATACGGTCTCATTACAGGGGTGAAAAGCAGACTATTTTGTGATTCATCCAGTGCATAGTATACGTCAAATCCTATGGCTGCGTGTAGCACAGTATTTACAGAGCCTTACTACGCACATATGGTTCTTGGTTCGATCTCGCACTGACCGCTATTAAACACTCTTTACTACAAACTCTACGTATTGACTTCAATGCATTGTCATTCCAATGTCCATGTTTTGGTGTCTAAGAGTTTTTTTTACTCTTTGTATTCAACCGACAATTTATCCAACAAAGATGTTATGCTATACAACGAGCGTAAAGAACTATTCTCTATTCTTAATGATTGACAAAAGCAGTTTCTCGTAGGACTTTGTTCATGAAATCTGGATCCCTCCGTCGGCTACCAATTCCACTGTACTATACAACACTAACAATTGTATTGTAACTACAATAATTACAATTCAGTAAGCTTTGCAATTTACAGCCTTTACATGCAGTTTACATCTCTACAATTTGCCTTTTGTAGATATTACACCAATATTCTAATTAAAATATTTGTCGTACAACTTCACGCAGTGCTGATCTGCTTGGAACTTCTGCAGCACCTCTGGGGTCGTGATGTACGTCAGTTTTCCTGCATCTACCAATCACATAGGTTTTCTCCGTAATCATTCAACCATTTCGCCAAACTCGTCAACTCTTCATTGAAAACTACAACAGAGGAAAACTGTAAACGACAAAAAGGCTTATATACACATGGCTTTTCTTCCACTTTGCCCATCATACGTGTTTCCTTTGATAAACACAGGGGAGATCTTTAGTGACCATATGCGAGAAGCTTCGCTGAGTAGCTCCAAGACTACATGCGTTACATTGGAAATGGCGGTGCCTCCAGACTGTTCACTCCCCATTGCTTTGAGGAAAGCGATACCAATAGGTTGAGAATTTGGAGATGTTGTGATGGATGTTACAAGACGGCATCGAAGCATTTCGACTATAAATGCGCTGAAGAACATGCTAAAAAGGCTAGCAAAAATGTATCCCTTGAGGGAAATTTTGCTGTTCAGAGTGTTTCAATACTGATCATGCAATGTGTTCATTTTTCGTATTAAGTGCGAACTTTAGAGAAGGAATTTCCTGCCTGTTGAAACCACAACCCCTCTGTTGGGTTCAATCTATGAAGGATAAATTTTACACACGTATAAATTGTAAACTCCGGATTATAAAGTAAACGTATATTCCTGAGCGTAACTCTGATCAGTACACCGGTAAAAGGCTTGATAATATGATTTGATAGTCACTAGTAAAGACATACCATTTCGAAGCACATCGATGGAG